AGCTTGACCTAGAGTCATATAGGACATGATTAAAAAAATAATTATTAATTACTTGTCTTAGTTCAAATCTTTGAGCCCAGATTTCATAAGCAGCAGATCTTAAAAATGCCCATGTTGCATGTTCCCTATAAAACTGAGATGGTGATGGTATATAAAATATATCCTGGCCTATCAACAGGCCTGCATCAGAAACTGTCCAGATCCCAGTCCATACATGTTGTACACCTACCCCTGTAAGCATTGCCTAAGCATTTTCCTAGTCAGGCCAACTGCTTTACTTGCTCTGACATTTGTTCTTCTACCTGTTCTTCTTCAGCTGCATGCAAATGGCTCCTTGATGGGTTTACTGCAGTCTATTATGCATTGTAAGTTACTGAGGATGGAAAGTTTATGAGAGGAAAATCCAGCAGCTTGCCTGAAGGTTACTCTACATTATAGTGAATGCCAGCAGTCCCAAGGTGAGATGATGGCAGTAGCATATCAATGGAAAAGTCCTGGTCATGCCCATAACAGTTGATGGGGAGAGGGTATAGGCGCTGCCATCCTTGCTAATATACTGGCATGATCCTTCCATGTTTGCCTAGGTTGGCTTTGGGCCCAGTTTCTGCCTGGTTTGCCCCACAAATTGCGCTCATCATATTTCATTTGAGGTTTGTTTTCCATTTGGAATAGAGATATACCTCTGCTTTTTACTCATATACTAAAATAGCTGTATGTAAAATATTTTTTAAAATAGATCCAGAAGTATCATCCACTTCTTTTTTCCAACTGCTCAATATTTTGATTGTACTATTTCCAGCATTAGTAAATTCTTTGTGGCTGCTACTAAAATTGTCCTTGTTCATATAGGGTTGAACTGTGACCTTAGAACCCAGTCTGAGTAAGGGAAATCATGTAGCTATTCTGCTGCAGAAACAGGCCTGCAACTGAATTGTGACTGAGGGACACAATCTCCCTCTGTTGTTCCTTTGCTTCAGTGGGAAGTAGTTTATTTTAGCACCTTTTTGATACAGATTTGTCCTACTATGAGGTGGCTTGATTCTACCCACTCTCTGACCCTATACATGGAAGAATGTCAGGCTGGCTGCACCTACTCTCTCCCTCTGACTGGTACAGACTTTAGTATTGCTAGTAACTCATATTGAGGTATATTGGGACTTCTTACATTCCCTGACTCCTCTGAAGAGAGGTAGAGTTGCGTTCATGAATGGGTTGTTTGGAAATGTGCATAGGAAAAAATATTCCTTTTTACTGTTCCTGTACTTAGGAGAAAAAAATAACATTTTCTGGTAGATTACTGCTAACTTTATAGTATTTTTTTCCAAGCCACTCCAATGGAGTAAAATTTTCAAGTTACAGTTGAAATGCTATTGGTTTGTATCATTTACTCTTATCTAAATATTATCACAGAGTTCATAGTAATGAGAATGTCTTACCATGCTACACAGTTATATGTATAAGACTTTCTAAGAATGGGTTAAATACAGCTTGCGCACTCCATTTAACCCATATGCTTTAATTAATTTTCCTTATATTTTGCCATTGCCATGGATAACATAGGTGTTGACCTTGATGTGATTTTGTCATTTGAAGGTCACATTAGTGCTGCAAAATAACCAGCTTCCCTTCTTATTATCTGGGTAGTATAGCTAGATTACAGCTAGTAATCTCTGACAGATGCTGTGATGATAATCCGTGCACTGGAAGTTGCTAAAATTGTTTTATGTAGTGTATGGTTTTATGTCTGCAGCTCATTCAAAATGTGATGAGCTATAAGGTTGTGGTGGAGACAACTAATTGACTACAGTGAAGTGATATGGTGACTTTTGAGGGAATTTGAAAGACTTCCTCTATCTTCAGTGTTGCTGGTTATGGTGGCAGATGTAACACTGGCCAGTTTTTGTGCCCTATAATGCCAGACAGCCACAGGGTGTGTCTACGTGAGACATTTACTGCAGAACTGACTAATTAGGTCTCACAGTAAACATCTCGGCATCTACACATGCAGCCCTATTAGATTACAGGAAAATAAATGCTGCAGGAGGATAGTACTTGTAAATACATGTATTTACAAGTACTCACAAGTTCACTTATTTCCATGAAATCATCAGTCCCCATAATTAAAATATTGTCACATTTTGGATATAATTCCAGTTTTGTCAACCCGTGAAGTGGAAGCTAAATAAAGGAGTCAATGATCTGTAATGATTTACTGAGAACCAGATTTTACCTGGTTCTTTTATTAGTAGGAACTATATGGGATTAGTATGCATATATGGTCAACACAATTCATTTGCCCTTGGATATAAGATCCAAACTGAATTCTGTCAGAGATCATCAGGCCTGCTCTTTCTACTCCTGACAGAAAAAAACAGAGATGTGGACTTACCTTCAGCCACCTTCAATGGTGGATCCAGAGAGGGTGCAGTGGCATGGTCGTACCCCCTTTTAGATTGTGCCACAGAAGCAGCAGTCAGGGACTTTATTTTAAAGTCCCTGAATCAAGTAAGAATTCCCTCCCACTCCCTTCCCCCTCATGCTCAGTGGCATGTCCCCTCCTCTATTCTCCCTTACCTTTCTACTTTCTCCCTCTCCCAAACCCGCCACTGTTCTTGGCTAACCTAAGGGCTGGGAGAGCTCCAGAGATGTTCTTGGCCCACTCCAGCTGGGCTGTGCAGGGTGCTGGGCTCAGCTGGGGACAGGGGCAGTGGCAGCCATGGTTCCCCTCCCTGCTTGGCTTTCTTGGGTGTTCCCTACCAGTCTGGGAACAGGTTCAGTGAAGGCAAACCCACCCGCCACCAGTGCTGTCCCTGGCCAAGCTTGGCTTCCCATGTAGAAGTTCCCTGCAGCCCCAGCTGGCATGGGGCAGGAGCAACTAGGACAGTGGCAATGGTGGGCAAGTCTCCCTTTCCTACGCCCAGAGGCATAACTAGAGAGGGAGGGCAGGGGAGGAGAGGTGTCACCAAGTGCAGGATGCTGAGCATTGGAGAAGATTCTTATCTGCTTCAGGGACTTCAACAAGGCCCCTGGCTGCTTCACTTGTGGTTTGGTCTGCCCAAACCAGTGAGGGGATGGAGAGACTGGGATCAGAGGAAGCATGCCAGGAGCAGGCTCAGTCACTCCTGCAGGGCTGGTCACTGCTCCTACCTTCCTCTTCAAATGCTTGGATCTGCCTGTGGACACTTTGTACACATGTGCAATAAACTCTATGCTACAAGAAAGGGTAAGAATAGGTGTCCCTCTGCTTCCTCAAAACAAAAAAGCTTCCCACAGACCTCCCAGAGGTGGTGAGTCTCTGCACTATCCCTTTATGTGGCTTGTTACTAAAAGGAACAATCTACCTCCAAAGATATATTAAAAAATTTTTTTTTTACCGCATTTCACATGTGAAAGCTAAAACTTAAAGGAATTAATTTTAATCATAAAAGAGCAAGTAGCTGTAAAATCTTATAACAAATTAATGTATTTTTAAAATAAAGATGACTAAAGCCATACTTAGAGTACACATAGAAACATAAAAAAAATACAAGTCTATCCAACACCTCCAGGCATTAATGCATACCAGTAGCAAAAGTATACAGCTCCTAAATAATGAATCTTTTAAAAATAAACATTCCACAGAAAGGAAATTATATTCTTTTTTTTAAAGTTCCCCTCAGCTGCTTGTGCCTAAATTTAGAAAGGGTCAGTTTGTTCTAAGGGCAGTGGTGCATAGCCATCCATTTGAGAAACATCATTTTCAAACCATTAACCTACTTCATCTAAGGGAGACTGTATAAACAAATGACAAATGAAGGAAGCAACCATTTCATGCAAGGTTAAAATGGTAAAGATCTGTTAGATCAGCCACTTCAGTCACTTGGTCTGTACAGAATTGTTCCACACAATTTATTTTTTCATGTTTTGTCCGGTGCAGTTTTGACTATTGAATACAGATCCTTTAACTTTCAACAATGTGTTGAATGCTCCATAATCTCATTGTCAGAAAGAATCATCTTAAATGCTACTTATCATAATTCCTCTCCTAATTATATTTATACTCATTTCTTTTGATCCTCTACAATACGCAAATTAAATCAAAACTCTTTTCTAAGTTCCATACAATACCCTAACTGGGACAGCTTAACTATAAACATGAAAAAAACCCAAAAAACAAAAAAACAAGAGGCAGGATTTCATAAGGTGATACCTTTTATTGGACCAACTATAAAGATAGGATAGAGTTAAACAAGCTTTTGAATGCAAGACGTTCTTCATCAGGTCTGACCAGTACAAGCCAAGTATACCATAGTTCTAAGAGGGGAAAGAGAGAAATTGTCAGAAGTAGCAGACAAACAATTAGCAGAAGACAAGAAGTTGATTACTGGGAGATGAAGGTCTGTCAAAAGGAAGGAGGGTCATTCTCACCTTTCATGTGAGGAAAGAATTCAGAAGTCAGG